ACGTGAGGTGAGCTGGGGCCGGGAGCGGGGCAGGGAGCTGCCGGTGCACGTACCAAATTTTCCCCGTGGGTGCTGCAGCCCCGAAGCACCCACGGAGTCGGTGCCTAAGGCACCACTTTTGAAGTGATCAGTGGGGAGAGCGGCCGCTCACCCTGCTCCCCCCCCAGCTACCCTCCCCCGCCCCTAGGAGCCAGAGGGACCTGCTGGATGCTTCCTGGGACATGTCCCAGGTAAGCACCACCGGGGCTCCCCACCTTGCCCCCCGGCAGGTCCCTCTGGCTCTTAGGGGCAGGGTGGGCACCCACTACAGTGGCCCACGAGACCCTCTTGCCGAGTTCTGGAGGCAGTCAGGGGACAGGGGAGAGGGGTGGATGGGGCAGGAGTCCCCGGGGGGGGCACGACCCCCTTGTGGGGTGAGGAGGAACCAGTTGTTAAGATTTTGGCAGCTCATCACTACTGTGATACACTTCACACCACAGCAGATACTTAATCCTCTACACAAGGGGTGTGTCAGGCATATTTCAAATGCAAAAAAAAAAAAAAAAAAAAGATCAGGCAGAAATATGAAATTATCAGAGTGTAATTTTATCTCCGCTTCTTAAATGAATAACTGCACCGTGCTTTGCCTCACATTCATTCCAATGAAAAGGTTGTTTTAGAAAAACAATCCTTGATTAATCATTCTGAGTTTGGGAATTGTGTCCCTGAAAGTACATGTGAGGGTATTTCTCAAAGTGCAAGGGTGGTGGAAGTATTTTTATTACATTCTGCAGTGGAAAGTTCACTTTAATCCTTTTTTAATTAATAGTAGGTTAGTAAAATTTAATTTTAAACAAGCTTGACAAAAGTTTCCAGAAATTTAATATTATAGATACTTATGGATGAATTCAAAAAGACTTTTAATTAGTAGTGCTTGAACTACTGTGCTATTTAACTAGTGTCCAGGTCAGAAGAAAGAAAAGTCTATGAGAATTTGCCAGATCTCTCTGAAGCAAGGTTTAAGGATTTTAAGTCTTTTCCTTAAGTGAGGAAGGAAAGTTCGGGTGTTTGTTTTATTAGCTGAAGAAAATATATTCATCAGGTATCTATTCATCTCTTCATATTCTTGGGTCATGGAAAGCTGTAATAGGGATAAAGAATGAGCAAACTACATCCCCACACCTTCCAGTGCATCAAGTCTTTCAGAATGATTAATAGATTAAAGGCTTTATCGTCTAGTCTGACTTCCTGCAGAACAGACAATAGGATTTCACCCACTAATTCCTGTATCAAGTCTGTATCTTGTGACTAAGGGTATGTCTACACTACGGAATAAGGTCGAATTTATAGAAGTCGGGTTTTTAGAAATCGGTTTTATAAATTCGAGTGTGTGTGTCCCCACAGAAAATGCTCTAAGTGCATTAACTCGGCGGAGCGCTTCCACAGTACCGAGGCAAGCGTCGACTTCCGGAGCGTTGCACTGTGGGTAGCTATCCCACAGTTCCTGCAGTCTCCGCTGCCCATTGGAATTCTGGGTTGAGATCCCAATGCCTGATGGGGCTAAAACATTGTTGCGGGTGGTTCTGGGTACATATCGTCAGCCCCCCGTTCCCTCCCTCCCCCCGTGAAAGCAAGGGCAGACAATCATTTCGCGCCTTTTTTCCTGAGTTACCTGTGCAGACGCCATACCATGGCAAGCATGGAGCCCGCTCAGGCTATGTCTCACCCTATGTCTCCTGGGTGCTGGCAGACGCGGTACGGCATTGCTACACAGTAGCAGCAACCCCTTGCCTTGTGGCAGCAGACGGTACAGTACGACTGGTAGCCGTCATCGTCATGTCTGAGGTGCTCCTGGTCGCCTCTGTGAGGTCGATCAGGAGAGCCTGGGCAGACATGGGCACAGGGACTAAATTTGGAGTGACTTGACCAGGTCATTCTCTTTAGTCCTGCAGTCAGTCCTATTGAACCGTCTTATGGTGAGCAGGCAGGCGATACGGACTGCTAGCAGTCGTACTGTACCATCTTCTGCCGAGCAGCCATGAGATGTGGATGGCATGCAGTCCTTCTGCACCGTCTGCTGCCAGCCAAAGATGTAAAAGATAGATGGAGTGGGTCAAAACAAGAAATAGACCAGATTTGTTTTGTACTCATTTGCTTCCCCCCTCCCCTGTCTAGGGGACTCATTCTTCTAGATCACACTGCAGTCACTTACAGAGAAGGTGCAGCGAGGTAAATCTAGCCATGTATCAATCAGAGGCCAGGCTAACCTTCTTGCTCCAATAAGGACAATAACTTAGGTGCACCATTTCTTATTGGAACCCTCCGTGAAGTCCTGCCTGAAATACTCCTTGATGTAAAGCCACCCCCTTTGTTGATTTTAGCTCCCTGAAGCCAACCCTGTAAGCGCCCCTCCCTCCGTCAGAGCAATGGCAAACAATCGGGCATCTGAGAGTGCTGTCCAGAGCAGTCACAATGGAGCACTCTGATGGGGCTAAAACATTGTCGCGGGTGGTTCTGGGTACGTGTCGTCAGGCCCCCGTTCCCTCCCTCCCCCCGTGAAAGCAAGGGCAGACAATCATTTCGCGCCTTTTTTCCTGAGTTACCTGTGCAGATGCCATACCACAGCAAGCATGGAGCCCGCTCAGGTAACCGTCACCCTATGTCTCCTGGGTGCTGGCAGATGCGGTACGGCTTTGCTGCACAGTAGCAGCAACCCCTTGCCTTCTGGCAGCAGACGGTGCAATACGACTGGTAGTCGTCCTCATCGTGTCCGAGGTGCTCCTGGCCGCGTCGGCTGGGAGCGCCTGGGCAGACATGGGCGCAGGGACTAAATTTGGAGTGACTTGACCAGGTCATTCTCTTTAGTCCTGCAGTCAGTCCTATTGAACCGTCTTATGGTGAGTGGGCAGGCGATACGGACTGCTAGCAGTCGTACTGTACCATCTTCTGCCAGGCAGGCAAGAGATGAGGATTGCTAGCAGTCGTATTGCACCATCTTCTGCCAGGCAGGCAAGAGATGGGGATGGCTAGCAGTCGTATTGCACCATCTTCTGCCAGGCAGGCAAGAGATGGGGATGGCTAGCAGTCGTACTGTACCATCTTCTGCCGAGCAGCCATGAGATGTGGATGGCATGCAGTCCTTCTGCACCGTCTGCTGCCAGCCAAAGATGTAAAAGATAGATGAAGTGGGTCAAAACAAGAAATAGACCAGATTTGTTTTGTACTCATTTGCCTCCTCCCCTGTCTAGGGGACTCATTCCTCTAGGTCACACTGCAGTCACTCACAGAGAAGGTGCAGCGAGGTAAATCTAGCCATGTATCAATCAGAGGCCAGGCTAACCTCCTTGTTCCAATAACAACGATAACTTAGGTGCACCATTTCTTATTGGAACCCTCCGTGCAGTCCTGCCTGAAATACTCCTTGATGTACAGGCACCCCCTTTGTTGATTTTAGCTCCCTGAAGCCAACCCTGTAAGCCGTGTCGTCAGTCGCCCCTCCCTCCGTCAGAGCAACGGCAGACAATTGTTCCGCGCCTTTTTTCTGTGCGGACGCCATACCACGGCAAGCATGGAGCCCGCTCAGCTCACTTTGGCAATTAGGAGCACATTAACCACCACACGCATTATCCAGCAGTATATGCAGCACCAGAACATGGCAACGCGATACCGGGCGAGGAGGCGACGTCAGCGCGGTCCCGTGAGTGATCAGGACATGGACACAGATTTCTCTGAAAGCATGGGCCCTGACAATGCATGCATCATGGTGCTAATGGGGCAGGTTCATGCTGTGGAACGCCGATTCTGGGCTCGGGAAACAAGCACAGACTGGTGGGACCGCATAGTGTTGCAGGTCTGGGACGATTCCCAGTGGCTACGAAACTTTCGCATGCGTAAGGGCACTTTCATGGAACTTTGTGACTTGCTTTCCCCTGCCCTGAAGCGCATGAATACCAAGATGAGAGCAGCCCTCACAGTTGAGAAGCGAGTGGCGATAGCCCTGTGGAAGCTTGCAACGCCAGACAGCTACCGGTCAGTTGGGAATCAATTTGGAGTGGGCAAATCTACTGTGGGGGCTGCTGTGATGCAAGTAGCCCACGCAATCAAAGATCTGCTGATATCAAGGGTAGTGACCCTGGGAAATGTGCAGGTCATAGTGGATGGCTTTGCTGCAATGGGATTCCCTAACTGTGGTGGGGCTATAGACGGAACCCATATCCCTATATTGGCACCGGAGCACCAAGCCGCCGAGTACATAAACCGCAAGGGGTACTTTTCGATAGTGCTGCAAGCTCTGGTGGATCACAAGGGACGTTTCACCAACATCAACGTGGGATGGCCGGGAAAGGTGCATGATGCTCGCATCTTCAGGAACTCTGGTCTGTTTCAAAAGCTGCAGGAAGGGACTTTATTCCCAGACCAGAAAATAACTGTTGGGGATGTTGAAATGCCTATATGTATCCTTGGGGACCCAGCCTACCCCTTAATGCCATGGCTCATGAAGCCATACACAGGCAGCCTGGACAGTGGTCAGGAGCTGTTCAACTACAGGCTGAGCAAGTGCAGAATGGTGGTAGAATGTGCATTTGGACGTTTAAAGGCGCGCTGGCGCAGTTTACTGACTCGCTTAGACCTCAGCGAAACCAATATCCCCACTGTTATTACTGCTTGCTGTGTGCTCCACAATATCTGTGAGTGTAAGGGGGAGACGTTTATGGCGGGGTGGGAGGTTGAGGCAAATCGCCTGGCTGCTGGTTACGCGCAGCCAGACACCAGGGCGGTTAGAAGAGCACAGGAGGGCGCGGTACGCATCAGAGAAGCTTTGAAAACCAGTTTCATGACTGGCCAGGCTACGGTGTGAAAGTTCTGTTTGTTTCTCCTTGATGAAACCCCCCGCCCCTTGGTTCACTCTACTTCCCTGTAAGCTAACCACCCTCCCCTCCTCCCTTTAATCATTGCTTGCAGAGCCAATAAAGTCATTGTTGCTTCACATTCATGCATTCGTTATTCATTCATCACACAAATAGGGGGATGACTACCAAGGTAGCCCAGGAGGGGTGGTGGAGGAGGGAAGGAAAATGCCACACAGCACTTTAAGCACAGCACTTTAAAAGTTTACAACTTTAAAATTTATTGAATGACAGCCTTCTTTTTTTTGGGCAATCCTCTGTGGGGGAGTGGCTGGTTGGCCGGAGGCCCCCCCACCGCGTTCTTGGGCGTCTGGGTGTGGAGGCTATGGAACTTGGGGAGGAGGGCGGTTGGTTACAGAGGGGCTGCAGTGGCAGTCTGTGCTCCAGCTGCCTTTGCTGCAGCTCAACCATACACTGGAGCATACTGGTTTGGTCCTGCAGCAGCCTCAGCATTGAATCCTGCCTCCTCTCATCACGCTGCCGCCACCTTTGAGCTTCAGCCCTGTCTTCAGCCCGCCACTTACTCTCTTCAGCCCTCCACCTCTCCTCCCGGTCATTTTGTGCTTTCCTGCACTCTGACATTATTTGCCTCCACGCATTCGTCTGTGCTCTGTCAGTGTGGGAGGACAGCATGAGCTCGGAGAACATTTCATCGCGAGTGCGTTTTTTTTTTTTCTAAGCTTCACTAGCCTCTGGGAAGGAGAAGATCCTGTGATCATTGAAACACATGCAGCTGGTGGAGAAAAAAAAAGGGACAGCGGTATTTAAAAAGACACATTTTATAAAACAGTGGCTACACTCTTTCAGGGTAAACCTTGCTGTTAACATTACATACATAGCACATGTGCTTTCGTTACAAGGTCGCATTTTGCCTCCTCCCACCGCGTGAACGGATTTTGGTTGAATGCCAGCAAACATACACTGCAATGCTTTGTTCTACAGTGATTCCCCAGTACGTGTTGCTGGCCTGGAGTGGTAAAGTGTCCTACCATGAAGGACGAAATAAGGCTGCCCTCCCCAGAAACCTTTTGCAAAGGCAGAACCGCAAATGCCAGGGCAAAGTAATCCTTTCACATGCTTGCTTTTAAACCATGTATAGCATTTTAAAAGGTACACTCACCAGAGGTCCCTTCTCCGCCTGCTGGGTCCAGGAGGCAGCCTTGGGTGGGTTCGGGGGGTACTGGCTCCAGGTCTAGGGTGAGAAACAGTTCCTGGCTGTCGGGAAAACCGGTTTCTCCGCTTGCTTGCTGTGAGCTATCATCTTCTTCGTCCCCAAAACCTACTTCCGTATTGCCTCCATCTCCATTGAAGGAGTCAAACAACACGGCTGGGGTAGTGGTGGCTGAACCCCCTAAAATGGCATGCAGCTCATCATAGAAGCGGCATGTTTGGGGCTCTGACCCAGAGCGGCCGTTCGCCTCTCTGGTTTTCTGGTAGGCTTGCCTCAGCTCCTTCAGTTTCACACGGCACTGCTTCGGGTCCCTGTTATGGCCTCTGTCCTTCATGCCCTGGGAGATTTTCACAAAGGTTTTGGCATTTCGAAAACTGGAACGGAGTTCTGATAGCACGGATTCCTCTCCCCAAACAGCGATCAGATCCCGTACCTCCCGTTCGGTCCATGCTGGAGCTCTTTTGCGATTCTGGGACTCCATCATGGTCACCTCTGCTGATGAGCTCTGCATGGTCACCTGCAGCTTGCCACGCTGGCCAAACAGGAAATGAGATTCAAAAGTTCGCGGTTCTTTTCCTGTCTACCTGGCCAGTGCATCTGAGTTGAGAGCGCTGTCCAGAGCGGTCAGAATGGAGCACTCTGGGATAGCTCCTGGAGGCCAATACCATCGAATTGTGTCCACAGTACCCCAAATTCGAGCCGGCAACGTCGATTTAAGCGCTAATCCACTTGTCAGGGGTGGAGTAAGGAAATCGATTTTAAGAGCCCTTTAAGTCGAAATAAAGGGCTTCATTGTGTGGACGGGTGCAGGTTTAAATCGATTTAACGCTGCTAAATTCGACCTAAAGTCCTAGTGTAGACCAGGGCTAAGTTACAGCATCTTTTTTAGAGACATGCCACACCAGCCATGATTTAAAATTTTCAAGTGATGCAGAATACACCACTCCTTGGTAAACTGAGCCAATGGTTAATTACAGTCACTGTTAAAGATTTGCACCACTTTTCTAGCCTGAGTTGATCTAGCATCAGCCTCCAAGAATTGCTCAGCAGGGTTCAGAATGCTGAAAGTGATGGCTTATTTGATAAATACCAGTGGTGCATTACCGTAATTATAAAACCCTTTACTACTATTGCCACGCTGTCCTGCAATCACTTTCACACGAGTAATGTCACTCCTGTCTGAAGACTTTCTAGAATCAGCTCCTAAAAGAGCAAAGTGGTGATTAATTCGCATAGTCAGCCACAGGCAGTCACCTCAGATGCTATGTCTATACTGCAATCAAAGAGATGGTTTCAGCATGTGTACACATGATCTACTTTGATCTAGCTAGCTCACAGAGCAATAGCCATTAACCCTATTGTGGTTGCCAGGAGACAGCAGGCATAAGCTAAGGGTCCTCTGCCTTACCACAGGAGGAGAAGCCAGTGAATCCAGGCCACAAATGGACACGGGGGAGAAACAGCTGTGAAGCTGGGGCAGCATGAGCTGTCTGGGCATGTACAAGCCTGCCAGCAAGTTTCCGTACATGCTCAGGTGGCTAGCTTGTGTGGCCTCAGCTTCATTGCTACTGGTATTCAAGCTAGCTCACAAATGTCTACACATGCTGTAATCACACCTCTGATTGCAGCACAGACATACCCAGTGTAGCCATGGTCTTTGGAAGGTGCAGAATTGATTGAGTAATTTATACATCACAACCCCCTCCTGCTAGTGTAGAAGATGTGGCTGGAATAAAGGGGGTATAAGTAGGGCTCCTTCATATCCAGCTGCTGTATCAGCCCTTTTCAGCCAGCATAAATTAGAACAGCCTTCTGGCTACTCTGAATTATAACAGGGAAATGGTCCAGCAGAGTCATCCCACGATTACGGAAGCACAAAGGTGAGACCCTCTTGAGCTGTGCTGAGCATTCCTTGGTCACACCCAGGAATCTAGCTCCAGACTTTGAATGCAGTATCTCTCTTTAACAGATGTTGTCCTTTGTGACTAACAGACATCTAAAGACGCTAGTGGGAAATTCTTATTAAATGTGGCAGAGATCAATAAATGAGCTGTCTTAAGCTAGTAATTGTTGTCTTTTCCAAACCCTTATTGTCTCTTTCTCAAAATGTCATGAAGCACTCAGAAGACTAAAAAGGAATAGTGGTACTACAGTCCAGGGCATTAATCACAAGTTGCTCAATTTCCTTCCTCGTGAAGGAATATTATCCAATAAATATTACATTTAGACACATCTTAATTGAATTATTGTTGCCAACAACGTGTTTGTTAATCAGTTGTCTTTGTAGTAATTCTGACATGGCTGAATTATCAAGGTTTAACAACATTTAGGATTCTGCAATGTCTTGTTAAAATGTTTGCCACTAATTAAAATGTATGTTTGACAAGATATTGTGTGTAATTTAAGTTTCCATAATCATATGTTTTCCATGCACCAAGTAAAATCTCAGTTATGCTGTGGTAACACTGAGGGAAGTATCCCTAGTGCACAATAACTGAGTGAGTTAGCTTAATCTGATCAAATTAATACAATTCTAGCAAACAAGAAATTGTGAGTGGGGTTTTCAGAAGCACTCAGTGTTGGCCTAACTCTACTCCTCTTGAAGTTAGCAGGAGTTTTATCATTATTTTAACAACAGCAAAATTAGACTGGCATTGAGAGTTTTTGAAAATGTCACCTTCTGTGTATAACCTATATGTAGATTACATGAGGTTAAATTCAAAGCCTTATTGCTAAAGTTACCTTCTCAGTTATATACAGTAGGAGTCACTATTCCTTCAACTTTTAGTTGTTAAGTAAAAGTCAAAGATTATCTGTCCACAGATTCAGAATGCTGAAAAAGTATTGAGTATGATATTAGTCTCCAGTAACAAACACAAAGGACAATACTAAGAGTATGAAATGTGCAGGCCTTTAAATATTTTATATCTGAGCTATTAGTAAGATATCTGTAAAAAATGGTCTCCATTCCTGACCAGTACCTAAGTGGAGTGTTTGGGATTACAGCTCTGCAGAAAAAGGTAATTTTGTTTTATTGAAGATGCAGACATTTCAAAGTTTGGTTTGGTTCCAATTTGAACTTCAAAATTTGGGGGTTTTGTTTATCCCTGATAGGGAAAGCTCTGGGTTCCCTGACTCTGGGACAGGCTACATGGTATGCCAAGGAGCTAGTACTTCCAGGTTCCTGGCTCCCAGGCAATTCACCAGGCAACCCGTAGAGGTGCCTGGGAACTATGGAGCTTGCGCGCCAGGGCTCTTGGTGCCCTACCAGTCTGCATGGCAGGTTGTGAAGAGCCAGAAAGATTGGTCTCACTTCAGGCAGGCAACAGCTTGGTAGCCAAATAGCCAATCAGAGGAGCTGGAAGAAAAATCAGAGCAATGTCTGATGGAAATCTCTCTGCTTCAGTGAAATCAGGCCATCTCCATGGAATAGTTCAATATTGCCGAACTGGCATTCTCTGAGGAAAAATGTTCCATCACAGAATTTCCAACCAGCTTTGCTTGAGACAAAAACCACCAGGACCATTCATCCAAAACAAACTGACTATCTGAGTGGGACAATGCAATAAGGAAAGCTTTGCTGATCTTTGAAAAGTCTCCAAGGGCTGGCCCAGCAGTCTAATGACAACTCATTGTTATTCTGTAGCCAAAGTTTGGGGCAAGGCTTGCTCCCTCGTTCTCCAGACCACTAGGTGCTGTCAGGGCCGGATTAACGCAGGGGCTTTAGGGGCTTCAGGTCAGGGCCTCAGACTAACAAGGGCCCCGCAAAAATAAATCAGTGGTCACCAACCCATTGATCACTATCAACTGGTTGATCCTGGAGCCTTCGCCAGTCGATCATGGTTTCCAGGCTACTAAAAGTCCAGCGTCACAGCAGGGCTCGGGCAGGGTGCCTGCATGCCCACACCGCTCCTGGAGGCAGCCAGCTGCTGGCATGTCTCTGGGACCCCTGGTGGGGGGAAGGCAGTTCCCCACGCTGCCCCTAGCACCATCCCCGCAGCTCCCGTTGGCCAGTTCCCAGCCAATGGGAGCTGCAGGGGCGGCGCTTGTGGGCGCAGGCAGTGCCCCAAGACATGCTGTCCCCTACCCCAAGGGGCGCGCTCAGACAGGCCAGCAGTCGGCTGCTTCTGGGAGCGGCGTGAGGCCAAGACATGCAGGCAGCCTGCTTGAGCCCTGCTGCGCCTCCAGCTGGGATCTGCCTGTGGTATACAGGGGCCCCACAAAGTTTAATAGCCCCAGGCCCACAGGAGAGTTAATCCGGCCCTGGGTGCTGGGTCTACAATGGTGGAGAAATTCACTTCCCATTAATGGAGCAGCTCAAGCCCTTTGTACCACTTTTCAGAGACCAAAGGGGGCTCAAATGGTATATAGATAGATAGGAATTTCACCCTATAAAAATAATGCCCAGTAAGACAACTTGGTTCTGGATTCATTTGAACAGAGCAGGAAAGAATATGAATGTTTTCAGAAATATAAAAATAAGGAACCAATTTCTGCTCTCAGTTACCCGCCTCCAAGTTTTTTTTAAGCCAGTTAAAAGGTATAACAGAGACGAGAATTTGATCTACACGTTTAAGTTAGATATATGCCTGATAAGCCTGATTCTCACAAATACTAAGGCTCATTTGCACCACTTTCGTAGCGTAAAAGAGCCCTGAAGTTGGCGTTAAGCCTCCTTCTCATTTACACTAATGCCACCTTACACAGCTAGAATCAGGCTTAGAGAGATTATTTTCCAAAGAGTCATCAGAATTTTGGAGTCTCTTCTCTAGGAAATTTTCACAGAACCTTCTTTACTGATATTGAAGGGAGAAAAAATTAACATTTACTTGGACAGCCATGGTATGTTAGAGTATAAATGATATGTTATTAGAGGCTTAAGGCACAGTGATTCTTCGGGGCTGACCTGATCACTAATTTGCAGACAAGATGTTATTTTCCCCAGAGTCTTTTGGAAGGTCCTTAAGCCTTTCTCCAGAGCCCAGAGCCAAACCTTTCTAAACCAAAATGATCATTTTCCTATGCTTGCAGGGGGCAATCACATTTGGATCACCACTTTCCCTCCTTCTGCTTTTATGTTTAATATCACCTTTAATGTGATAAACACACACAGAAGTCTGTGCCAGGATTACTCCTCGGCTCATGGACAACCATTGTGGAGTCCCCAAGGCAAGAAAAGGGTTTATCTGTCTGTTGCTCCCTTCAGACAAGGCATCTCCTCCAGCAGTCTTACCCAGCAACACTAAGCAAGGAACTGGTCATACATCACAACAGTAGTAACACATCAAGCCTGCCTACCTTCCCTCTTGGAGGCAGCAGTCTCTCCAGCAGTTCCTAGCCCCAGCCAGATTTCTCTCACAGAGATCTACTCTCCTTCCTATTCAGCCAGCAAATGAGCTGGGGTCACCCCCTTTTAATTTCTTCCTCCAACCCTGACATCTATTTCAGGTGTAGTGGGCAGGGCTGATTGAAACCACGGTAGCTCATTAACCCTTTCATTGTCAGTGTGGGATTTCTACACCCCATCACAAGGGATTAAATCCACAAAGGGATTTAGGGGCCAGATCCTCAGAGGTATTTAAGTTCCTAACTTCCATTGAAATCAATGGGAGTTAGGTGCCTAATACCTTTGATGATCTGGGTCTTAGGTGCCTAAATCTGGGGTTTAGGCAATAAATTTCCAATTTTAGGTACCACTCTGATCCATAAAACCTGCCGGCCACCTGACCCTGTAGGTGCCTAAACTCACTCAGTGCATACATTTCTGCCGTAGAAGTTCCCTAGATGCTTAAATTTCTGCTTCTTGGTATGCACATTACTGCCTTACTCTAGGCGT